TAAAAAAAAAAAAAAAAAAAAAAAAAAGGTAATAAAATAGGCTCGTTGCATCACTTCCCTCCACTGCAGCAGGAGAAAGCAGGTGAAAGATTGCAGTATCTCAGCTCCTGCCCGGCTGTCAGGCCATCTGCCAGTAGAGGGAGCTCGGCATGCACAGGGAGTTGTCCTTTTGTCATTAAAGATATTGTGGAGCACACTCCTTCCTCTGAAACGTCATGCAGGCTTTGAATCTAATTTTAATGCTCCTGTCGTGAGGGTGGGTAGAAATAAAGCTGCTTCCCCTTGCTGTGGGTGTGAGGCAGCCCTAATTCTTCTCCAGGTGTGTATCTAGGGAAGATCAAGCAGCTGAAAAGTGGAATAGCAAGCAGGCGTGGTGAAGGGATTGCTGTAGCTGACCTGTCAAATCAGAGAGATGGGTAGAAAAGGTTCCTCCGATTAGCCGATTGGAAAGGAACAGGAGAGGAGATTGATCGTTGCAGATACTGAGAAAACGGAGGCTAGAAGATGCTCTAAGAAGGTAAGCCGCTTGGGATTGATGCAACTCTTCGCCTATTTAGCAGTCCCATTTACAAAGCTAGAATATATTTGCCTCATTCCAGCAGGATTTCCTTTGAAAATTGTCAAATCTGCCCAGATTTCTAACAGCCTGGGAACCTTTGGGCATAGTGACGCATATGTGGTTAAACTCCAGTCCAGCAAAGCGACAGTGGTGCATGATTTGCTGTTCTAGGTGGAGTCGTCCTCTGGTTAAATGTATTCGTAAAGGCAAGTAAGATGATAGTCTGACATGTGGTTCCATTTCTTAAAACGGATGCTGCAAATGCATAACTAGCAAAAGACAATTCTCCCCCATTGCGGGCTCACATGGTAGATGTCTATTCAGAAAAATTGCTTGTTGATCATTTTAATGGCTATCTAAGAGAGAGCATCCCTATCAGGTACCTGAGATTTCTTTTTCCTCCTCTTCCTACCAATTGCTTTAATTTGGGGATGAAAATGTTTTAGTTTGTGTCAGCCACTGCATGGTTTCCACATCCTTTTGATCTTGGGGAATCCCTCTTGTTTCCTAGGCAGCGATGTGTGCAGAGATACTCAGCTGCAGCGAGGCCGGTAGGGGTGTGTGGAGTGGCTGAAATGTCAAAGCGGTTAATCTGTGAGACTAAATTATGTGTTGAATCTTTAGCCTCTTCTACAGCAGTTGAGAGACTTGAAACACAGCTGATTTTTCCTCTCTGCATTATTCTTCTCACTTCTTTCCCCTATATCTGGGAAGGGAAAGTGTCTGCCTCTTGGTTGCAAACACCTGGGTTTGGCCTCCACTGAATACTAATCACTTTCTTTTGTCCTTCCCCTCCTGAAGCTGGATACATTTATCTCTGTGACACAAGGGTCACTACACATCTGCTCACTCCTCCCTGCCCCCCACTCCTTCCTCGCTCCTCTACAAAGTACCATCCCATCAGCTGTCTGAATTTGACATTGAATATGTTCTAGATGAAGTCCACAAAAAAATCCATTGATCAGTGCTTGGAAATGATAAAATATATAATGTATGATAAAATCTGTAATTTAAATCCAAGCATAAATGTAGATCTCTGCCATGGAGATCAGCATATGCCCATATGGACCTATATGTTGATTTTGTACCCAAAAGTACTAGAGGGGTTTTGGGTTGTTTCTGAAATTTCAATAAATTGAGGAGAGTACTAGTTACCTTTTTTTCCCCCTGCTCATTCCATTCCTTGCTTGGTATTCTTGGCCAAAGTTGTATTCCAAATAATAATTGGAAACTGGCACTGGTCTTTCAGGGTGGACCCCTAAGTTTTTTGGTGGGCTGCAGGCCTATGAAACGCTGTGTCTTTCAGGTCTATGTCTGCACTGGCACAGTTCAGACTTGCAGTTCACCCTTGCTGCAGTTTGGCGGTCTGTACTGAAGGGTGGAGGCTGTTTATGTAGCTTGTGCGCTTATCATTGTCTTCTACTGAGAGTAAGCTTGAGGGATACTGGTAAACCTGCCTGTATCTTATCAATGCTGCATCTCTCAATGATTTGTACCAGTGATAAACAACAAGCCCTAACCTTTCCAGTAGAGCCAAGCCATAAACCATGGAAGCATCATGAAGACCTGGTGGAAGGGTCCTGTACAAATCCCAACTATAAGCTGGGTACACATAAAGATGCATGTATGAGCTTTGGATCAAATGCAGTTGTCATGGTGCTTAAGTGATGTAGGTTCTCAAGTCTTGCATGCGTGTGCAAATTTGGCTCTTACTTATGGCAAATCAGGATCCTACACTAAAAACTGTTGTGAGCATATATCAGCCCTGCTCCTCTTTCTCTTCCCTC